CCCCAAAACCCCAAAACCCCAAAACCCCACAACTCATAATTTGATAATAATTTAAATAAATGCAAATAAGTAATAATAATAAATAGTACAAAATATTATATAAGTAACTATGTTGTCATAATTTTTTATACTCTCAGCCAGAGGTGATACCATTATCATCAGAGATTGTATTTCCCATTTCCCAAATAATTCTTATAGTCAGATTGGATCTTGGAAGAGAAACCAGTGAAATATTCTTTAGGAAAGTTAAGTTCTGGAAAGGAGACCCTCCCCCATGCTTTGTAATTAAAAATAAATCTGACAAAGACAATTATAGACTGTGGAGGGAATCAATTTCTTTTACACCAAGAAATTCGGAATATTCTTCGTAGCAACTACTAAGCACAACGTCTCGCCTTCCTTCGTGATGGACATCTTATATAGAATGATGAAAGTCTTCAGGGATTATTGTGGAGTCTTAAATGAAGAGAGTATTAGGAAAAATTTCGTGTTGATCTATGAGATTATTGATGAGATTATTGATTACGGCCATCCTTAGTTGATGACAACTGAGAATATCAAACAATTCATTGTGAATGAGGCTATTCTAATCTAGCAGAAGTAGTAGACTAGCAACTTCAGACCAAACATATTCTCCTCCAATACTATTCCATCGACAGCTATTCAAAGGCCTCTGTCCTAAATCACAGACAAGAAAAACATGAAAAATGAAATCTTTGTAGATATTTTCGAAAAGCTTACAGTAATACTGCAATGCTCTTATTAATACTCTATTATAGGTACTTTTCAATGCTAACGGATTCGTGATTAACTCTTCAATCGATGGCGTTATTTAAATGAAGTCTTACTTATAGGGTAATCCTGAGTTGCGATTAGTCTTGAATGATGATTTAGTCGTAGGAAGAGCTAACGCAGGAGGCGGCGGAGGAGGTCAAGTAGTTGGCTCTGTCGTTTTGGACGATTGTAATTTCCATGAGTGTGTAGATGTAAGAGACTTTGAAGCTATGAAGACCTTAACAATTAACCCACCAGATGGAGAATTCTTGGTCATGAACTATAGAATAAACGGAGATTATGCCACTCCTTTCAGAATATATCCTTTCATTGATGAGATATCACAATATAAACTACAGCTAACTCTAAAGGTGAGAGCTACTTTCCCACCTGATCACTTCGCCACTTAAGTACTCGTAAAATTCCCTGTACCCAGATAGACCACAAATGTGACATTTGAAATTCCCAAGGGAATCTAAGGGCATTCAGCTGAATACAAATAAACTGAATAATTGACTGAATGGGCAATTAAAAAGTTTCAGGGTGGAGTTGAGCACACTCTTATCGTTAAAATTACACTTAAGAATCCAACTGCTACTGAGTGTAGAAAGGAGATTGGACCAGTATCTATGAACTTTGAGATCCCAATGTACAATGTTAGTAATCTGCAGGTAAAATATTTGAAAATAGCATCAACTCAAAAGAACTATAATCCCTATAGATGGGTTAGATATGTCACATAGTCATCTTCATATGTATGCAGAACTTGAATTTAATTATGTTATCATTTATTCGAACAAAAGAGTGATGAGGGGTTTTGGGGTTTTGGGGTTTTGGGG